CCTGGCAACTTTAGAAAGAAAAACTACGCTGCCTAGTCAGTCGAACGACAGCCATCGCAAGAGTAATTGCATTTACTCGGTTGTCTCCTTATCCTATTCTTTCGCATCTTCTACTCACCTTGTTTCTGTTAACTAAATCAAATACTATTTTGCTCTAAAATAACAGTTTGAGTTCCTTGCTTATGTATAAGCACCGATACCCAACAATTTCATTATTTCCTGCGGCGGGACTCCATAACTTTTAACCTTTTGCGCTCGAGTGTCGACTCTGAAGCGACGCTAAAAATTGCTACACTATTTTCGGAAGAATGTTCACGTTATTCAATTTGTCTGTGTTCGATAAATCGTCGAATAATAGAAGTCTTCTATAAGCACATATGTTCGATTTCATACTGTACCAAATAAAAACAATCATACCGAATGGAAATAGTGTAGCTTGAAACAAATGCCTTCATTTTGGAGTTGAAACAGTCTCGAGTGCAAAGGGTTAACAGTAGAACAATTTTAATAGATAGTTTACGGGACGCGTCCTTTTTACACGTACCAAATTTGTTTATTTACGATTATCGAGATCATCAAGATACATTTACGGCGAAATTCAACAAATTTCATTAAACGTATAAAAATCGCTCGGACATTTTCATCGATACGACAAGGTTCACTGTCAAACAGAAAACATTTTACGATGTTTTCGCAAAACCCTTGCCAGCCGGAGCGATTGAGAAACGAATTTTGAAAATTGTGCATTCGAAACAAGTGTAAAAATGTCGATTCCACGTCGCAAACATAGCACACCGCACAAATTGAAGAAGCACTTTCGCGGCGACGAATGCACGATGAAATTCAGCGATTCCTTTTGGGAAAATATCGTCGATGTATTGGGTTCGCAACTAAGTAATTGCCAATTTTCTAGTAATAACTTATTGAGTACAAATGTTATTCTGTCCTTTAAAATTGGAATGAAATTTAAATCTCTTGTGATCAATATTTAAGCACTCGAGCAAATTTAGGCACACGATATGCATCAATTTCCTTTCCCTTCTAAGAAATTATTGCAATCGAAAAATTTTTAATCGCAGTAGCTACGAAGAAAATGGTACATCAACGAGTTGAAACGATATACGACTGATATTATATATTGGGTTGGCAACTAAGTAATTGCCGATTTCAGTTATAGATGTCTCTCACTCCCATTTTTATGATATCCGTAAATGTTATATATCATACAATTATTATTATTATTATTATTGTGTTATTTTTTATTATCTGCACCGGAAAGCAAAATTTACCAAATTGGGTTGTTTGAGAGTGAAAACTTCGGTGCTGACTCTTTGCACGTTTCATATTGGGTTGGCAACTAAGTAATTGCCGTAAAATATATCCGTAATATATCCGTAAATGTTATATCATAAAATTATTATTATTATTATTATGTTATTTTTTATTATCCGTGAATGTTAGCAACTGGACAAATT